CTCAGGAAGGTCCTATAGGGAATCCCTTTTGGGTTTCCTCATGTTGGTTTCATCTTTCTAAGTGCTAGAAGTTGATACCACACACGCGAAACTCCAGAAGGGGACGGAAGCGGGTTGAATTTTTTTTTAAAATGAGACGGGTCCCATTTCTAAGGTTCTAAGATAGTCGAAGGAAGACCCCTAAGGCTAGATCCTAACTCCTACGAGAAATACTAGACCTCACGAAAAATGAGGTCAACACCTATGCATGAAAATCTGTATTTCATTTTCTAAAAGTCAAAATAGTGGTGCTTTTTATGTGATATGAAGCATTTATGTGGCATAAATGTAAAAAATTAAAGTTTAGGTGCTATATATGTAAATACAAATGAATTATGTGGTATGTAAATGCCCCTACATTTTAATACCAAAGCCACTTGAGTGTTTGTAAAAATACTTGGCAATAAAATAAAAAATTACCACTTGTAAAGTTTAACTATAATATGATTTCTACCATGTGACATCCCTAGTAGAGTATATCCAAAGTTGTGCCAATCTATCACAAACCCACATCGTCGAAGCCAACATGATAGTTTGACAGCAGCTAAAGTTGGTACAGATGGTGGATTCTGCAAACACAAAAGATAAATAAATTATGAATACCAATCAAAGCATATATAGCAAATCCCACATTGATTAATCTAACAGGCAAGCATAAATTATAAGAAAATTTAAATATATTATTAATTAATACTGAACAAGTATAAAATATTTACAAGGTGTTAGATATGTAAATACACTAGAATTGGCTGATATGTATGTAAACGCCCCAAAAAATTAAGATGCTGGTATTATCCTATGTAAATGACATAATTCATTCAATTTTAGGATACAGTTGCATGCATCCTTAAACCTTAAGAGCAGAATTGTGAAAATTACACCAACAAAAAGCTTGAACAAAAAATGCCGTACCTGTACCAGGAAAGCATCTGGACGAGGAATCTTGAAAAGAAACCATACTAAAATAAAGAACTGTATGGCTGCCTTGGTTAACACTGCAAGTGCTTTTGATATCTTGGATAGACCCTCTAAGCTTACAGATGCCTGAAAAACAAGAACTGTGTCACTAATATAAATTTGAAAATGGCCTTACAATTTTTACAACAAATAAACACTACAGGGAAAATATAATTTTTGAATAGATACCATCTCATGGATGCGGATATTCTGGTTCTTTATAACATCCATGTGAGATTCGCTACCTAGCAATTCATAAAAACAGAAAAGAAAAAAAAATAAGCATAAAATAGTTCATGAGAAAGGGGTTTCTCGATAGAAATTTAGGTTTTTTGAAGGAAAAAAAAAAGCTGAATTACATTGAATACAAGTTATACATGTTGGCATGCAACCATGCGCAGTGTCCAAATCAAACTAATAGAGTGGTGACTTGAGTATCATTGACAATCAGTTAAGTCCAAAAGAAATCATTCTCCAAGAAAAAATAGTAAAAAACATGTACAATTTCATATCTTACCTCCATTAGCAACAATATCCACCTCAAACTTTGCCTGCAAAACCAATTGCATAGAGCATCAATAGAATTGACGTAATAGAAAACTATATGAGTAAATCAATAGACGTTACGAATTTAGTAAGGTTAAATACTAAACATGATATATATATATACATATATATATATATATATATACATATATATATATATATATAAAATTATAATTATATTTATATGTATATATTTGTATGTATGAATGTATGTATGTGTGTGTGTAGACTTCTGCTATTAAACCGTGCTTTATATTTTTTTTACTCCATCTGAGTTGTACTTAGTTTTGAAAGCCCACTTTCTGTCCTAGAGGTTTTAGTTGCGTGATAGAGGAACTAATATAGAAATGCCTAGTTCTTGTAACGATTGAAACGCTTGTGACATGGTGGTGCACCAGTGAGATTGGCAGGCAACAACAGAATAGTTGGTGAGATCTCAGGAAATGGTGTATGCCAGACTTCGAATCCATTTGGGCTTAAGGTGACCATTTTTTAATCTAGTAATCGTGAGATGATCTACTGTGGTGGTGAATTGAGAGACGCAGGTTGCTATGGTGGTAGTAGGTGGGTTACAAAATTGTAGAGAGTGGGGACCAATGTTTGGTAGTGTCTGTGTTGGCAAGGAAATTTGGGAAATAGTGGGGAAATGAGAGTGATGTTTAGTGATGGAAGTGTTCTAAGGTTGATGAAAGTGTAGGAAGGAAATGCTACTTCATTGATTAATATGTGGCATAGCCAAGGAATTTGCAATTAGTTGATCAAGGAGAAAGCTTATCCAGTGAGCATAGGCAGAATCATTGGAAGCACTGGGAGCCAAATATTTTGAGTACATGGGAGAAAGTTCTTGTAGACAACAAAAATGGAGATAATTTGTTGGTTGTTCATGAGGTGAGTAGGTTCATAAGATAAGTGATGATTAATAGAGCATCAATCTAAAAATGACGAGGGAGAATGATTATATAGAAATGAGGAGATGGTGTTCGCACTCACTCATTTTTTTATGGAATGTACGAGCAACTATATTAATGCTATATGCCCCAATTGAAAAGAAGTTTCTGAAATCGGCAATTAATGTAATCGCTTCCAGTGTCAGTGCAGAGGGTTTTAATAGAGCTGTTATATTTCTTCCATGTTCTTAAATGAGAAACTAAGGAAAAGTATCCAATTTAGAGTGAAAGAAGAAGGTTGGGGAAGCTCCTCGTACATATGAGCGAAGAAGTCCTAATGGTTTTTAAAAATGAAAGATAGACGCATAAAATGAAAGTTTGTAACTCTAAAAAAATGACAAATACATGGATGACTAGGATTGTTGAAAATTATAGTTGGTGTATGTTTGAATGGCAAGGAGATAGCGTCTGATGAGGAATGCCAAAGCCTACTATGCCATAAATTCAGATACAATTAAGTGAGACAAGGTTGTAAAGCTGGGATTGGGGTAGCATACAAGCCTTTTTGACAGGAACCACTTATAAGAAGCTGATCGGTTTTCAAGTTTTTTATGTAATAGCCGCCAGAAACAAAGAAACGGAACAAGAGTTATCATTAGTTAGGAATTGGACAAATAAAAGATTTTTGGAATGTTAGACAGCAAAAGAATATTATAGAGGAAATGAATACTACTAGATGTGGTAAAGAGAAATGACCCATGGTGAAGATAAGGAAGCATTATTCATTTCCAATGATAACTTAATGTGAAGCTTGATATGCCTTAGTTTGTTGAGGGTGTGGTAGGTCTGATGTAACATGAAGATGGCGATATCAACTGTGAGTTTTTGTTGCCTCAGTGGCCAAAGAGTGAGGCTTGGATAGGTTTGAATGCGCAGGGTTGACTCTTGCCACCAGTAGTAAAGTAACCACAACCTTACCCTCTAGATGCAGGGAAAGTTATAGGTGGATTCATGATATGTAGCGATTGGAACTTGGTCGGCTTCAATGATGAGGTTGGTTTATTAGCTAGAAGAAGAGAATAAAGATAGTTGAGGGAGGGAGATTGAAAGTTGGTTCAGATTGTAGTTTTGAATGCTTAGTAGGATGACGATAATCCATCTATTGTATAGAGAAATAATATGTTCGGGGTCGAGATGTGAGCTATTAGCAACAATAGAGTCAACAATTGTTTCATTGTTTGATCTTTTATGATATTTCGTTCTTCAGCTAAATGATGTAGAAGCAGTTGGTAAATTGCAGTATCCACTCAATGGTAGTCCAAATCTTAACACGGGTATATAAAGTGAGGAAATACAAGAGAAGATGAGAGATACCGAGTAAAGGGCTGCAGCAATATTTTGGTTGATTGACACCATATGTTGTAGTGAGGGCTGGGGCAAATAAAGCTATCATCTTGGATTAGTGGTTTTGCTGGACAAGAAACGGAGCCATACAAGCATCATCAAAACTATTTTACTCTGAAATTTTTTAGAACTCAAGACCTTCATATTGGATGATTTTTTAGAGTGACTGAAAAGTCGATGGCATTCTTGATGTCTAACATCAAGAACTTGATTTGAAGAAGAATGTGGATGTCATCTCAGGGAGGATTGTTTGTCCCTAAAGACCTTCATATTGGATGAAGGGTTCATGGCTCAGAGAGCGGTAGGCCAAGTAGTTTGATAAAAGAAAAGGGCAGCTAGAGCAAGGTAGGCACCATATTGCTTGGATACTATAAAATAAATATTTGAAACATAATGAAATAAGTAGGGGAAACAGAAAAAAAGACCAAAAAGAAGAGAGGAATTTTTGTACTCCATAATTTCCAATTTTTTATATGCTCCGGAGCAGAAATCAGCGAGCAAATAACCACGAAACAGCAAGAGATAGACGACAAACTCAAAAGAGGGCTGCTCTTAACAAACAAACAAAAGCAAAAAAGCAAAATACAAAAGTGATCAACTTTTCGAGAGGTAGATCGGCTCTCCCACACCGCTAGGCATCACTATGAACACCAAAAAAGAAGCAAAAACCAGCAGCCAACAAAAACCAAGAATAAAAAAGAACAAACCCTAGGCCCTCCCCTTAACAAAATCTTCCCACATCATTTCAAATTTCCCCCCCAACTTTTCCTCCAAATTCCTTTAATTTCTCCTCGCGTATGTGATTAGGGCCTTCGTGGACCCCACCTTCTCCCTGCCTTCTTCGGCCACAACAAATTGCTGCTCCCCTCCACACGAGAAAGAGCGGCCCAATTCCTGTGCAGGCGAGCCACTTGAAGGGATCTCGACTGGTCTAGGAGGGACCGGTCGACTCTCATGCTTAACATTACTCCCCTCCCAAAGAAGTACCTTGTCCTCAAGGTGGAAGGATGGAAACTGCTTGTTGATCATCTCGTAAGTCTCTCACTTTGCCTCATAGTCTGACAATCATTTCCACTTAACCAATACCTCCTTTGCTCCCCATACTTCTCGGCGCACTCCTTTGATCTCTAGCCGCTCCATAATCACCTCCAAGTCTTTCGTCAGCTTCGGCTGTAGTGTAGACAAATGTGTATGATCTCCAATCGCACATCTCAGCTATGATACATGGAAGACCGGGTGTAGTGCGGACGATGGTAGTAAACTTAAATGGTAGGTCACTGCCCCGATGTGTGCCATCACCTCGTAAGGTTCAAAGTATCTCGGCGAAAGTTTCTCGCTCCTCCTAGCCAGTGTCTTCTGTCGGTAGGGCCTCAGCTTCAAGTAAATCATGTCCCCTGGTTCAATTTGCACGTCTCTCCTGTATTCATCCATTTTTTTCTTCATGATTTTTTGAGCCATTAGAAGATGTCCCTTGAGTTCTACTAGTATCTTGTGCCTCTCCTCCAGGTACTAATTGAAGTTAGATATCGGTGTAGCATTATGCCCATAATGTATCTAGTGAGGTGGACCCAGCTCATACAATATCTTGAAAGGAGTGGTCTGTGCTGCGGTGTAGTACGTAGTATACCAATATTCGACCCACACAATCTACTTGACCCATTGTTTCGGCATATATCTGATACAAAACAACGTAGATATGTTTCCACACTCCTATTGCCACCTCCATCTATCTATCAGTTCGGGGATGATATGCGGAGCTCCTCTTAAGAACTGTCCCTTGCAACTTGAATAGCTCTTTCCAGAAGTGACTGAGGAACACCTTATCCCTATAGGAAACAATCGATTCTGGTACTCCGTGCAAACGTACCACTTCTCAGATAAACACCGATGCAACTAGACCGCGATGTAGGGATATCGTAAGGGAATGAAATGTGCATACTTGGGCGATCCACCACCACTATGATCATCGTGAATCTTTTAACTGTCGCAACCCCTCGATAAAATCCATCGTCACTTCTCCCCAAACCTTCCCCGATAATACTAATGGTTATAGTAACCCTCCTGGTGTTATGGTCAAGTAATTGTTTCACTGACATACATTGCATTTTGCCACAATTTCGTCGACGTCTCAGTGCATTCCCACTCAATAAAGTTTTGTTGTCAGACGACTGTAGGTCTTCTACACCCTTGAGTGTCCCTCGATCGCACTACCATGAAACTCTTGCAATAATCTGGAAATATACTCCGACATCTTGGGTATCACGAATTGCCCCTGGTGGAGCAGCTGGTGCTCCCTCAATGCATATCTTGGATGATTGTTCAGCTCCTGTAGTAACTCGACCCTTATCTTCCTTAGCTCATCTCGTTCGCTCTACTGTCTCAAGGCTTCTCAATCTAAAACCAAGGGAACCAATATGAGCGTCAATTGGGGTTCTTCCACCTTTCTCGACAAAGCATCAACTGCTTTGCTCTCCAATCCTGAATGATACTGAATCTCGAAATCATACCCCAATAGCTTGGATAGCCACATCTGATGCTCCTCATCCACCATCCACTGCTCCAAATAATACTTTAAACACCTTTGATCTGTCCTGACCAAGAAATATCGTCCCAACAGGTAGAGCCGCCACTTCTGAATCGCCAAGACGATCGCCATCAATTCTCATTCATATACTGACTTTAGCCTTGCTCTAAGCGTAAGAAGCTAATTGAAG